CATCATTAGTGTAATTTTGTCTGTCAGACATCTATTTGTTAGGGAGGGACCACTGTCTCTGAGTTCTTTGCATCTTCCTGGTAATAGCAATAGACTGAATGTAAATGTTAGGATGCCTTTGGCATATGAGAAATATTGCCTCTAGCTAGACCTAAGTGATAGGTAAATCAGGAGTCACTTTATTACTCTATTTTGTTCATGTGTTTGTTTGCTTTTGCTTTTCAAGACAAGGTTTCTCTGTGTGGTCCTGGCTATCCTAGAACTCTCTGTAGACCAGGCTGGCCTTGAACTCAGAGATCCTCCGGCCTCTGCCTCCCGAGTGCTGGTATTAAAGGTGTGCGGCATCACCATAACATAAACATTACTCTGTGTGTGTGTGTTTGAAAATGTCCATAATGAAAGCTGTCTTGAAAACATGTTGGGTTTCGGTATTTTTTTTAAGAACTAAATAGCCTCCCTCCTCCCATCGGCCTCAAAAAAACAGGAGTTTAGCATTTTTGTTGCAACTATTTCCAGCATGCAGCAGCAACAGCAGCAGCTCAAGAAGAAGGACCGCTAGGCACACCTGCAATTTTATCTCTTGATTGATTGAGGCAGAAGAATTTCAAGGTCAAGGCTAGCCTGGGATGCATAGTAAGAGCCTGTCTCAAAGTGGGGTAGGGGATACATAGTGAAACCCTATCTCAAAGTGAGGGTGGGGAGATTATTTTGAAATCAAGGAGACGTTAAGATAGCTGTAAACTCACATCCTGAAGCTTCTGGCCAAAACTTTTGAGAGACACAGCACATCACCAGACTAAAAGAGAGAAACACTTTGGTCAGAACTCACAAGCCATTTATAGTTGACTTAGTGCATCTGCAGATTCCATGTTTTTACACTCAATGAACAATAGATCAAAAATATCTGAAAAAAATATTTACACTGAAAATGTACAAACTTCTCTTTCTTGTTATTATTCCCCAAACAATAGAGGGTGACAGCCATCTGTGCAGCATTTATATTGTACAGGCTGTTATAAATAATCTAGAAAGGATGTGAAAATTATGAGAACACAAGCCTGCGTTCTAGGCATGCACTCTGGAGCATCTCTGCACTTTGGCATTCCTCGAATCTCCAGTGACACCAGGACAATTGCAGCGCTCCCATTAGCAAGGCCACTTGTGGAATAAGATACAAAGCCCAGCACTAGACAGGGAGATACATGTCATGTCTGTCTTTGGTCAACTAGACAAAGGAGGCTGTGCTGAGCGTGTAGTGTGGTGACGGAGTTCATGCCTGAATGTGGGAAGGCTTTGGGTTCAGTTCTCTAGGATAAGAGAGGAAAGTAGAAGGAAGGGAGCAGAGGAATGGCTGGCAAGAAAGCAGGAAAGAAGGTGTCTTAGTCCCTGTCGTGACACTGTGACAAAATGCCCAGAGAAGGTCAACCAAGAGAACAATGCCCCCAAGCCCATCGCCAATGGTTCTAGATTCTGTCCAGTCAACAGTTGCCACTAATCCCAGGGAAGGAAGGGGACACTTTATTCCTGAAATTTAATACAATCCAGAGTCTTAAACTCACACTTCAATGGCCAAAACTGAGTGTAACAGAACTCAATTCTAATGAAAGCTAGTTTGTGTGAGAGTTCCAAACTGGACACTACAATTATGCTGGAAAAAAAATTGCAGTCTGCATCCTTGAGCTAATGGGCAGACTGATGATAAAATCAATTATGTCACATCGTAATGGAAAGTCTAGAGTGCTCTAGGATGGTGAAGAAAATGTTTCAGAAGGTTTCTTGAGGTGACCGCCATCAGGGAGAGATAGGACTGGATAATAAGCAGAGATTGATAGAGTAGCTCGTGTGTGTATCTGAGATAATTTACATGCTTACATAACAATAGCATGAAATTATTATTAGCATCTGAACACCTAAGAGATTTCATCTGTCTCATTCACAAGGCCCTAGCTTACCAAGGGTACTCATTAAGTGCACATTTTAAAAGAAAACCGTGTGAGTATCCATAACCTAAACATCCAAAGTCACAAGCGTTCCAAAATCTGATACTTCGTAGGGACATGATGCTGTGAGACTGATGTGTCAATGTTCATAGACTTAGTTTTGTGAATTAAGATGAGAAAAAGCCTTCTACGAGATTACTGCCTTGGTAAGCCTTCATTGTCAGCTTGACACAGGCTAGGGTCATCCTAGAATAGAAGCAGCAATGGAGGAACTACGTAAGTCAGGTTGGTCTGTGAGCATGAGGGACTGTCTTGATTACTGGTTGATGTAGGAGGACCTAACCCACCATTGGTGGCACCATTCCTCAGTCAGTGGCCCTGGGCAGTTTAAAGCTAGCTAAGCATGAGCCAGGAAGTGATCCAGAGATTGAGCCAATGAGCATCATTCCTCCATGGTTCCTAACTCCAGGTTCCTGCCTGACTCCTCCGTGATGGATCGTGACCTAGGAGTTGTGAGATGAAACAAACCCTACCCTCCTCCAAGCTGGTTTTAGTAAGAGTGTTTGATAAGAGCAACATAAAAGAAGCTAGAGCAGACTTCAGGCTGGGAGACACGGGAAATACGCACAAATTTCCAGTTAGATTTGAGTCTCATCCCCAAGATATCTCGGTATTTAGTTTCAAATATTCCAAGGTCTAAAACGCTTACATTCAAGTGCTTCAGACAAAGTGGTTTTGAAGTAAACAGTGAGTCCCTTGTGAAGTTTTCCCACGGTTCAGAGTTCACGCGGGGCATGGTATCGAGGCGGAGGAGACAAAATTAAGACAACATTAGAAGGCTGGATTTTTACAGAGAGGAAGAGAACTCTGAAGATCTTGGAAAGGATCTCACAAACACATTTGTAATTTTGAGATTCATGGGAGAAGGTGGACAGAAAAGACACAAAACTGAACACAGAGATAGCTTTGTGGTTATTGCTACAGTCCATTTTAAAGGTGGCCAGTTAGGAAACAAAGGTTATGTCCCTTAAAGCCACCAGAATGGCTGACATGACAAAAACTGGTGATATCAAACGTCAAGGATGAGGAGCAACCAGAACGCCCATCCTTTGCTGGGATGGTTAGTTTCGGGGGCTGTTGTTGCCCTTCAGTTGGTAGAATTCTGGGCTAGCCAGCCTTGGGTTAGTTTCCAGAATGGTATAAATTGAGTGTGGTTGTGCATACAGCAATTTGTGGTCATCCTTGGCGATTCTGTATAGTGAAGACCAGCCTGCGTTACATAAGATCCTTTCTAAGAAAGGAGGGGGAGAGGAGAGAGAGAAAAAGAGAGAGGACTCCCATTAAAGTTTAACCCCATAATTCCATTCTTTAGGTATACAGCAGGAAGGAACTCTTCCATGCTGCCCACAAAGACACCGACAAGAATGTCCCCAGCAGCATCATTCCCCAGAGTGCAAGTGGACAAATTATGTTAGACTCACGCAAAGGAATACTGAAACACATCTAGACCACTGCCAAACAGATAAACGCCGTGAACCTGAAACTGAGTAAAAACAGTCAGACATAGTATATGATCTGTAGGACTGGAGAGATGGCTCAGTGGTTAAAAGCACTGGTTGTTCTTCCAGGGGACCCGGGTACAATTCCCAACACCCACATGGCAGCTCACAACTGTCTGAAAATTCTGTTCCAGGATATCCAACACCCTCACATGGGCATACATGCAGGCAAAATACCAAGGTACATAAAATACAAAAAAAAAAAAACGGAATTTTTTTTCTTTTAAGAAAGAATACAGTCTGTAGAATTCTACTTGTAAAGTTCAAAAAATATGCAAAAACAACTCATTGTGAAAGGACTCAGAATTGAGGTTGCTTTTGAGCATACCGTAATGTGAGAGGCTAGGCGTGGTATCTGGGTATAGTTACACAATACGAAATTTTGTGCAGTTTTGGCTCATGTAATAGGGTGGGTGACAGTCCCCTGTGGAGGGGTCAATGTACCTCTAGAAAGACGTCAGATTCGACAGTAGCCGTGATACTTATTGCTCCTGGCTTCTCTTGGAGGCTATAGTAGAAATCTCATAACCCCATAATCACGGAAATCACCCGCCTCTAGAGCTGCGTCCCATTTTTTGTTCTTCATAGCTTATGCCGTCCCACTACGAGACACAGCTTTTTCCAGTTAGCGAATTCTCTCTGCCCCAACCTCTTTTATTTTTTTCTGAGTTCTCACTGTCCTTTGAAGTAAGAAATAGGCTGAAATAAATCAGGTAAAACATGATCCACTGAGTATATCTCTAAAGAGATGAGAGAAATATCTTCTAAGGGAACCTAGGGAGTCCAGAAGACCATCTGGAATTAGGTGGCAGTCATGGGAACAGACAGGCCATCTTTTCCCTGTGGATGCTTTGTTTGCCTCACGTGGTTTCACTCCTACCTCCAATTGCCTTTGACTCCCCTATAGAAGAAGAAAAGATAAAGATTTAGGAGGATCCTTGGACATAAAATCCAAAAGAAGTTTAGGAGGAAGTCACTGCTCTTGCATAGCGATTCCCGCCCTTGAGCTCCCACGGGAAAAACAGAGTAAAGTGGAATCCAAAACCTTCCACAGCCTGCTTTCCACTCCAGGTCTGACTTGAGACAAGGAACAAAGTCCCTTTAAGACCCGATAGTGAATCTCCCTTCAGGCCCCAGAGGCACCCTCTCTGGTTGCCATCCTAATGATAGGAAGAACTCCCGCCCGCCCCCAAACAAGGTCTAACGTAGCCTAGGCTGACTCCAAACTCACTACGAAACTCAGGATGACTTTGAACTTCTTCACCTCCTGGTTGCTGGGGTTACAAGAGTAACCACGACAGTTGGCTGATGAGGTGTCGGGGTTCAAAGCCAAGACTCTGTGCGTGTTAGGCAAACATTTCGCCGACTGAGCTTTCCCCAGCCCTGAAGGGGAGGCCCGTTGGCAGATCCCTTCTGATACCTTCCTCCCCTGGCTGTTTATGAGGAGATGGCTACAGACCGGCAACTCAGATAAACCGTGAAATTCTGCACCCACACATAGGTCCCTCTATTCTCGAGACTCAAAAGAACACTGTGCTGTCTCAGACGTGGAGCGGAGACTAGAAAGGTAAGTGAAATGAGACCGAGACGGACATAACCCACACCTGGGGTTGGCATTCAAGGAGTCAAAAAAAACGGCAGAGCTGGAGGGGATGATGCTGAGTGGGGGAAGCAGGAACAAGAGGTTTGGGGATGGTTACATCTCTGCAGCACACTGAGCACAGAGGCTTGTTCTAGAATGTTCCAGCCCCTACTCCAACCTTACCAGAAGCTCAAGTCTTCACCTGCTCCTCGCCTCAGTTTACTTACACTCTTCCCTGGATCCCAATAACTAATACACCTAGTATTGACGTGGTAGTAGGTTTAAAGGACAGGTTGACGTCCTTATTTCAATAACTGTAATGTGCTTATTTTGTGTGTTCTTATGAGTGTATGTAAGTGCCTCTGGAAGCCAGAGGACAGCCTCAGCATGGCTCCCCAGGAACTGTCCATCTTGGTGGTTTGGGGGTCTCTCATCAGAGATCATCAATTATCTGGACATCAAAACTCAGGGATCCACCTGCCTCCACCTCCCCAGCTCTGGATTATCACCACACACAGTCCACCACACCACACTACACTCTTTAGTTGGGTTCTAGGAACTCAAATGCAGTACCTCATGCGTGTGTATCAAATACCTCACCAGCTTAGCTGTCTCCCCAACCCAAACAGAGAGAGCTATTTGAAAGGTGTTCCAGCAGGTCAGGTTTGCTGTATGCCTGTAATTCTAGCACTTTGTGGGTGGAGGCAGGAGGATCAGGACTGGACTTTATGGCCAGTGTTGGCTACCTAAGACCTGTGTCAAAAAGAGAGAGAGAGTCATTATTTGATATATTACTAAAAAAAGTTGCAATTAAAATATACCATCCACTATAAAGTTGAGTTGGGGTTGGGGAAATGTGTAAAACATGCACTTCTTAGAATCAATTATACCACCATGACCTGGGCAGAAGTCAGAAAAAGACTTTTAGTTTTGGAAAATTGTGCATATAAATGAAGAAGCCCTCAATGCCAATATATCGAAAGTTCTAATTTCAAGGATTGGGCTTCTTCATTTCCAGCACTGTCATATGCTTTAGGTCATATATTGAGAAGAATTAGAGAGACCTGGAGAAATATTCATATCAGCCATTTTGAAAGAGTAGCACATTGTCTATGACCACCTGAAGGTACCCGGTCTCAAGACAAATAAAAGGTCACGGATTTAATCTATTTAATGTGTATTAATACTTGAACAGGTTCTAAAATTATGGAAATGAGAAACAGCTATACAATCGGACACAAAACTCCGTGACACTTTGATGTCTTGCAGCGCTTGCGTCAATAAACACTTCTGTGCCTTTGTGTATTTGAAACAGATTTATGAATTTCATGGAGCTGATGAAAAAAAGCTGGAAGCGAAGATTCAAGAGCTAATGTGAACTGCCACCTAAAACCAAACATACCTGTGACATTTTCTAAAGCCTCAGCAAGTGTTTCGTGTTTTGATTTTCAGCATGCCCTGTCACCTGCTTTCTATCAGTCTCTCTCCTGATGTTTTACGGGAAGAACATGCCATTACGGTCCTCTTGAGACCTTGAATGAAACCGTTGCAGTAGTGTAGACGGAGGCTGCTCGTTTGTTTCCTGACTGCTCAGACACAGAGACTATATTAATCACAACACTGCTTGGTCTATTAGCTCAGGCTTCTTACTAACTAACTCTTAAATCTTAAATTACCCATTTTATTATTCTGTGTCTCGCCACGAGGCTGTGGCTTACCACGTAATGTTCGGGCATCTGACTCCGTCGGCAGCAATGCAGCATCTCCTTGACTCTCTTTTTATTCTTCCAGCCTGGCTCTATTCTGCCTTGCCATAGGCTGAATCAGCTTCTTTATTAACCAACGGTAATAAAAACATATTCATAGCTTACAGAGGGGCATCCCACATCACAGTAGCATAATTGTGTTACTTCCATTTTCTTTAGTCAGCCTTGCTCTGAGCATGTTCCTTGGGTAATGTTTTTGTCACCTTTACAACAGAGCCCGTATGAAACTGAGTAATAGGTCACCAAGATTTTCCAGAGCTAGCCAGAGGTGCAGTTGTTCATATGATCAAAGTACTTGGCCATTCTTAGGTATGTCAGTGTTGGGGTGGGGTGGGTATTGTTCTTTAAAAAGATATGATGTTGGGGTCCCCCAGCGGCCTGCAAGCCAGGCAGAGGCTGCCACCAGAGCAGTGCAGGTTACCCAGGCAAGCGGCAGAGTCAGGTGGCTGGATGCGGTGGACGGCAGAGTAAATAGACATAAGGCTAGACATAGAGGTAAACATGTATTACTTAAAGGGGAAGGAGAGAAAGAAAGGCAGAAACAGAAAAGAGGACAGAGAGAGAGGAAAAACACGTGTGCACACGCCAGGAGACGGAAAACAGAAGAGAAAGAGTTAAGATGGCGATGAGGAAGGTCAGAAGTGGCTGGGAGTGGGCGTGGTTAGCCCTTAAAGGCACTGCAAAGGAATAACATTCCCGGATCCTTTTTATAATAAAAAGTAGAAGGTTAGACATTACAGTTTGAAGGAATTGGGGCAGTGAATTCTCAAGACTGCTTCCGGCTGATTTGTGGGCGTCGTCTTTGGGGGAGGAGGGAGATCCGAGAGAAGGCTGGGTGCTGTTCACATCCTGGCATAGCTGGTCTCTGCTCCCGATAGGTGTCTGTGGCATGGAAATGTTTGGTGTCCCTTGTACCTGGTTAGGGTGTTAGCAGAACAGAGGACAAAGTTAAATTAAGAAAAAAAATTTAGGACCAGGGAATTGAGGGGTTTTTGTATCTGACCTGTTTATGGTGGGTTCTTTAATTCGGCTCCCTGGAACTCATAAGAACTCCTTGGGTTCATAAAAACAGAAATATTAGACATAATGGATAATGACATATTTTTGTATAATGAAAGGTATTTTTATTTGGTGAAGCAACCTGGCAAAACCTCTTAGCTACCAGACTGTCAGAGATCTTTGAGAAGGATAAGATTTTACTTGAGTTACTGATTTAAAAATGACAGAGAACTTACTTGGTTGGCATCTAGAACTACTCTTTTGGGTCCTCCATGGTCGCTGAAGGTTGTATTTGACCTTTGTTGTTTAGCGCAGAGCCTGTCAGGCTTTAGAAGACCCTGTAGGCTAAGAAATCTGTAGAAAGACAGGCCTAACTTGACCTGGGCAGCTAGGCTGTCGATTCCAGTGATTCTGTCCACGTTTGGAGGTCTCCAGTTTAGGTGAAAGGCAGTTTTTGCCCAATGGTCAGCGCTTGGCAGTCGAAGCAAACTGCAGATGGACGCTGGTCTGTGACCATTTGTCTTCTGTCTTCTTGGAGGAATCAGAGTGCTTGCTAGGAGCCAACCTGTCTCTCTTTGTTATGAAAAGTTATTTAGTAATTAAATATTTAAATATCGCATTCCCCAGATCTCTGAGCAGTTGAGGCTGTTTATTAGGTATAGCTGCAGTATAGATTCTGTCTGGAAGGTTGGGTTTGAGTTTGACTGTATTGACTCTTAACAGATAAGATCCACACTCGTAAAAAGACAGAAAGAAAAAAAAAACTGTTTGTAACATTAAGATTAGTGGCAGAATTGACAATGGTAGAGAATAGCTTAATATTAAATATGAGAGAGTAAAAAGTACATACCAGTTTAAAATATGAGACTTATGATTTTGTAGTCTGAAATGAAATGAAATGAACAATTATTATACATAGAAAAATTGAACAGGAATTAGGCAAAGTGCATGTCTCTGATGAGCCCTATCAGAAGCGCGTCACTATGCAAAACACCTGTAATCAGAGTTAAGGAGAGGATTTCAGTGAACACCGAGGAGGGGGAGAGGAAAGCAGGACATACATAAGAATGAGAGAGCTTGGTCGCGTGATCTGGCTCTCAGTGAATCTAGCAATAAAGTCACCTGGCCCCAATGAACATGGCGGCGGCCACGTGTTGTGGCTTGAATGGAAAAGCCGCAGGAATTTTAAAAGCCGGGGGCCGCCTGGTGTGGGCGATTGCTATCCAGAGTCTGAATCATGAAAACCCACGCAACGAACGCCCAGGACCACGTGAATGAGCGTCCTCGATCCACGGGTGGGGTGTTATGGGCCTAGCTGGATCTGGGTTACTCAGAAACCAGAGACCAGGGCCGCTCCGTAGCGGCAGTTACGACAAGAGGAGAGAAAAAGGAAAGAAAAGAAGTGAAAATGAAAAAAGATAGAGAAAATGAGGACCCGGTCCCCAGACGAATGTCGAATGCACAGCACAGAAATGCAGTGCTAATGCAGGCGGACCAACCCCTGGGGTCATCCAAGCACGATTCCAGTAAAGGAAAGCAACCGTCTGTAGCAGAAGGAGGAACGACTCACCGATTGAAGCCCTCTGGGAAGCCAGTGGTGGGAGTAGAAAAAGAACCCGGTTCAGGATATCCGAGTCACGGCACCAATTTTGTTCTTTAAAAAAAGATATGATGTTGGGGTCCCCCAGCGGCCTGCAAGCCAGGCAGAGGCTGCCACCAGAGCAGTGCAGGTTACCCAGGCAAGCGGCAGAGTCAGGAGGCTGGATGCGGTGGACGACAGAGTAAATAGACATAAGGCTAGACATAGAGGTAAACATGTATTACTTAAAGGGGAAGGAGAGAAAGAAAGGCAGAAATAGAAAGGAGGACAGAGAGAGAAGAAAAACACGTGTGCACACGCCAGGAGATGGAAAACAGAAGAGAAAGAGTTAAGATGGCGATGAGGAAGGTCAGAAGTGGCTGGGAGTGTGCATGGTTAGCCCTTAAAGGCACTGCAAAGGAATAACAGTGGGGAGGCTTCATTTTGTCCTGTTTTGTTTTGTGTGGGGACCAAGAATCAAGCTCAAGGCCTCACACCTGCTAAGCAAGCCCTCTCACCATGGAACTGCAGTCACAGCCTGGGAGATACTACTTGCCCCAGTTTGCTTTCTATTGCATGATAAAACACCAGTATAACTTTAAAGCACACAGTTCTAAATGAGATGTCCTCATCAAGCCTTCCCCTCAAGGCTCGGGGATCTATGTGGCAGATGGGTAGTTCCCAGGAAGCAGTGTCTTTCAGAAACAAAGACTAACTGATGCACATATAAATTCATAGACACTGTAGCAGCACACACAAGACCCTGCACATGGTCAAGCTGGACAAGGTCCCTGCACTAAGGGGGAAGTAAGTGCACGTGGGCTCCCACCCCTAACTATCTGTAATTGATACCCACTAGCAAAGGAAAAAGCCCGTTTTCATCAATGGAGTCTGGCTGGGTGTATTAACCACTCTTCAGGGCAGCCTCCATGCTCAGGAGTATTGACCAACAAGAAATTAACTCAGAGGTTTTTGAGTAGACATTTTAGTATCATTTTCATTTGTTTGGGCTTCTTTCGCTTTCTTTTGTCTTATTGGTCTTTTGATTGTTATTTTGATTTCTCTTTTTGTGTTTGAGGAGCGTATTTGTGTGTTTCTTGTGAGGTTTTTTTGTGTTGTTTGTTTTAAAGAGAGAAAAAAGCCGTAGAGAACAAAAAGGGAGGTGGGAGGAATTGGGGGAGGGGAAGAACATGACCAAGATACGTTGTATGGAAAACATTATCTTTCAATTAGAAAACATTAAGAATAAAGAAATAAAATGCCAAGAGCAAAAGCAACTTAGAAGCAAAGGGTTTGTTTGCCTGAATGAACCACAACCTATCATTGAGGGAAGTCAAGGCAGGCCCTCAAGGCCAGGCAGGAACCTGAAGGCAAGAACAAAGCAGCAGCCACAGAAGAATGTGCTTACAAGCCTGCACCCCATGACTTACTCGATTTTCTTATTCTTACAAGCCAGAACTGCCTTCCCAGGGGTGGCACAGCAGGGCCCTCCAACATCAATCATTAATCCAAACCTCTGAAGACCTGCCTATAGGCCAATCTGATGAAGTATTATCAAAGTATTATCAATTTGATGAACTACTCCCCCTTCCCAGATGGCTCTAGCTGTGTCCAATTGACAAAAACGAACCAGCCCAGAGCTCTTATCCCTACACAAGAGAGAAGGCACAAACTAATTTAATAACGTCCTCAATTTTGTTTCCAGAAGATTGTGTTAGGTCCCTGGCTGTCGGATACCTAAGTTGAAGCTAAGGGTTGAAAGAATGGAATATAGTTGAACACTTACAATAACGTCATAATTTTTTTATTCGTAATGCTACCAGTTATATTTCCTGCTTAATAAAATTAAGGGCCCAAATACTTCTGATCGGCCCCTCAGCCTGGAGGGGCAGGAAGACAGCCACAGACCCACTGGGTGCCACTGTGATGAGCAGGTACGTGGTAGAGAAATGGAAGAGAAAAGGAGAAAGAAGCCGTTGTTCACTGTGTAGAAAAAGGGAACAGAAGGCACAATGTTGGTGAGGAACAGGCTGATATGGGTGGCCTGTGATGCCACCTGGGGTCATGTGATGTCCAGGCCT